ACCATCTCCGTGGCTCCTCCAGCCCCACTCCAGCAGCTCCGTGTCTGTCCTGTGCTGAGGAACCCAGAGCTGTATTTCTGACTCCTGGGTGGCAGTTAGCCTGTCCCCATCCTTCCACCCTGGAGGGAAGCAGATCCTCACGTCTAAAGAGCCTCCTCCCTCCTGCCATCACCCCTCCTGTGCAGCCGCGTGTTGAGAACTGATGGATGTTCCCATCCTTTGGGCTGGAGCTGAACATTTCATCGTGCCAGTGTCTTCAGCGTGCAGCAATTCCACCGGCTCTTTATTCCAGCTGAAAACTCCTCTGCTGATGTAGTGACTGTCCTTGGCAGGGTCTGGGGCTGGTTTGGCCTCTGGCAATTCTCGCTCCATCTCTGCTTCTCTCGCCTTCCCGAAGCCGGCTCTCTGCTGCGCTGTCCTCCTCCCTGACAGCCCGCCGGCTGCTCGGGGGCACCGGCCTCACTGCTGCGGCTTTTCAGGTGACAAAGGTGCAAGAACTCAGCAAGCATCCCCCTCCCCTTGTTCCAGCTTGGGTTGTAAAGCAGGCGCCTCGGACTCAGCGTAGCCAAGGCTTGGGATTTCCTAAACGCGATTTCTACGAGTGAAATGAGTGGTTACTCCTCCAAGTCAGCCCTTTGGAAATGGAAAATCAGAATAGCGTCTGTTCGTATTTAACACGAACAGAATTAGTCTTCAGTTGCCAGGTGTGTAAAAATCTGTCATAGCATCCTCTCTGCTCGGCGAGGTCGACTCTGCCACCGCATCTCTTCGTTCTGTGACTCTGAAACACACAAAAACTTGGATCCTCAGGAATCAGTGGGGCGCGCTAGGATCATTAGCGTCTGTTCTCCGGTCTCTGCTGGAGAAGGTCGTCACCCCGAAACGCTTCCAGGCGTTGGATAGAGGCTTAAGCCAGGCTCTGGGGTGTGTTTGCAGCACATCTCAGGTGTGTGTCGCTTTAGGCTTGCCTAAACCTCTCTAGAACAGGAATATAAACCCAAAGCTGGGCTTATCTCAGACCTCTCCCCCAACTCCCTGACCTGAGGTGGGTTTGTTGGTGAGGAGCAGCCCTTTGATGCCGTGCTCGCTCCATCACACCGCGCTGCGGCTCCGGGCTGTTCACTCTTCTGCTTCTGCAGCCTATAAGCAGAGCAACGCTGGTCACTCAACCCAGCCCCTGCGTTATTTTTTGTCTGAGGAGCAGCCGTGGTTTGACGCGGCGCCGTCCCCTGCCCAGGCAACGGGACAGCCTGGGTTTATTTTTAAAATCTTTCTATTTGTCTTCTGAAACTTTGCACCTTCCGGGCACTGGGTTGGGCTCGAGCTGGTTTGCAGCAGATGCCCAGTGCTGTGGGGTTGGAGAAGTTTTCCCCGATGCTGCGGGTAATATGAAAATTTCGTAAGATTTGCTTATCAGAACCCAGCGTTTCCACCCACCGCTGAGTTCTCCTGTTTCAGTGTTTCCCAACAGCTGACAGAAAGCTAAAGCAGAAGTTGGTGTTTCGTGGTCCAGGCTGACTTTTGGGGTGTGTTACCTGCACAGACCGAATCTCTCGCGTGCCGTGATGTCTGGTCCCGTGTGGAAGATCCTTCTGACTCGTGCCCTGTTTTTTCCTTGCCAGGGTGCTCAATTATTGCCGTGTTTTCACCGAGCTCTGCGAGACCTTCCTGGATAAAATCGTTTGCACGCCAGGCCAGGGGCTGGGCGACCTGCGGACGCTGGAGCTGCTGCTCATCTGCGCCGGGCACCCGCAGTACGAGGTGAGTGGGGTTTACCCCCTTCCTCTCCTCAACCAAATCTCACTCATCCAGAGTTGAGTCAGCGGAAAAAAAATCTCTTCTATCGCCACGTGGTCAGGAGGCTTCAGTTCCTGCGAGCTGCTGGCCTCGCAACACCCGCTCTGTGTTTGTGATGCTGAAATCGGGCTGAGCTGCCCTCTCCCAGCCTCCTGGAGGGGTACAGCTCGGAAAACCTCCGGTATTTTCTTTCCACGTGTTCACATTCAGTTAAGCTTTGCGGGGATTGCAGTATCGCTCACGGTAACGTCCTCCAAATTCAATGCTGGCAGGATCCAAGCTCCCCGACCATTCTTTCTTAAATACGGGCTCTCCCTCCAACCCCACTTTTTATTCTTCCAAACCTCTCCATTACATCCCAGTAGCTGATCCCTGGATCGGGTCTGTTCAGGGACGGCGGTTCCTGGGCAGAGGGGTTGTGCTGCCCAATCCCACCCGGGGAGCAGGGAGGTGCCGGCTGGGGTTTGCTCCCGTCCTTCCCTCCGCGGTTCAGGTCCCGCGGGGGCGGGATGCAGCCGCTGACGGGATGGGTGGTGGGTGGGTGTGGATCTGACCCGGTGCCCTCACCAGGAGTTGGGTTTTCCAGGAGCTTTCAGAGGCGGAAAGTCCATCAGAGCTGAGAGCTCTGCCATGCAACCCCTGGGGGCTCGTTCGCCGTGGGGTTTGTGGCGTGTCTGCGCTTCATGGGGTCCCTGCGGTGCTCCTTGGCTCTGGGTGGCTCTCTCAGTCCCCTCTCCCGCTCTGTTAAGCTCAGCCTCCCTTGGGCATGACTTTGTCTTCCACCAGCGATGCTTAGGAGGAACTGAAGCTCTGCAGCTGCTCCTGAAAAAAACGTGCATGCATTTTTCTTTCTGCAATAACCGCAATTATGCAGAGGCTGGGGGCTTTGGAGCAATGTCCTCGTCCAGCCTGACCAGCAAAATGATGTTGGGGCAGGCTGGGAATGAAACATCTCCTGTGTGAGCAGGGGCAGAGGTGGGCACAGATCGTGTTGGAGGCAGGGAGATAAAAGCTGATGGCTGGCAGGTTTGGCTGGTGCGGAATGAGGGATGTCCACGCTTTAAAGCAAAAGATGGTTCTTCTGCCTCCGTGTTCATTTTGCAGAGAAGAGGCTTTGCTTCTGAGGGCTGGAGAGAGGTGTTCAGATGAACTCAGTGGGTTTCAAATCCCTGATGAAGTGACCAAGCAGCAGAGGAGATGGGTGACGCTGGGGGAACCGGTCCACGTTTCATCATCGTGTGGGAATCTGCGGTACCCCACCGCGCTGCGGGGAAGATTTCTCTGTCAGGAGCACCAGCAGAGTGGAAGAAAAAAAAAAGGAAAATGCTCTGTTGCTAACCAGATGCTGAATTTTTTTTTTTCTTTCTAAACCAGGTGGTAGAAATTTCATTTAACTTCTGGTACAGACTGGGGGAGCACCTGTACAAGACGGACGATGCCGTCATCCACAGCATCTTCAAAGCCTACATCCAGCGCCTGCTCCACGCCCTGGCCAGGCACTGCCAGCTCGACTCGGACCACGTAAGGCTGCGCTCGCCGCGGTTCCTCGGGAGGACCCGTCCGTCCTCGCTGCTGCGTGCCGCTCGCTCTCCCTAGCTGTAGGGCTCTGCAGTTGCTGGAATTGCAGAGAGAGGATGGAGAGGAATTGAATTGGCTCCATTAAACCTCTTTTCATTCTGTTGGTTCTTGTTCTGAGCTTTCTGGCATCGAGATGCTGCGGGATGACCCTCTCCTGGGGTGGTTCTCATTTTGAGAGCTGTGCAAAGACACGTCCCCTGCTCTGGGGTGGTTTTGTTGGAATAAAGCTTGTGCAGCTCGCTAGCCACAGCGCTCTCATCTTCCCCCTTGAAGTCTGGGATCCTTCATCCTTTTTCCCTCTCTGCCTGTGCCCCGCATCCCCTTGATTTCCATCCCTTCACCCGCGTGGCAGAGCAGGAATACCCGGCATGTGTTCGGGCTGTTGGCGTTTTCTTTGCGCAGGGCTCTCCTTCCCATCCCCTTCCGGAGCTTGATCTGGGGAGGGCAGGGCAGGAACGATGGATCTGTGCCCTAAAATTGATTTGTTTTTTTTCTTGTCCTGGCTGTGGGACGGGGAACCGGGATTTCTCTGAGCTGCTTTCACCCTTTTTCTCTCCCCCGTCTCTGCTAGGAGGGTGTCCCAGAGGAGACAGACGATTTCGGGGAGTTCCGGATGAGGGTCTCGGACCTGGTGAAAGACCTGATCTTCCTGGTGGGGTCGGTGGAGTGCTTTGCTCAGGTGGGTTTGCGGGAGGCACGCTCGCCTCCATCGCTGTGCCAGAGGCGGCCGAGCCCTGGTGGCTGTCGGGGTGGGGACAAGGTGACACACATCACCTCCTTGTGCAACCGTCTCTTGAAGCTGATGGTGGGGATGGTTCTGGGAGAAGCAGGTTCCACACTGGGGGTGCTGCTGGGGAGCAGTGCTCTGGTCCTAAAATAGCAGGGTGATCTGTGGAACGGGGGGTTCCTGCGGGTCCACGCCCGGAGCCGGGGAGTTCAGGCGCTGGAGGAGGTGGGGAGCAGGTGGTGATCTCCCAGGGTGGGATTCGTGGCTGCCTGCCCACGAGATGTGTTTGTAGCTTCTTTTGTGTCCCATCCTCTTCGTGTAGCTGTATGCGACGCTGAAGGACGGGAATCCGCCCTGGGAGGTGACGGAAGCCGTCCTCTTCATCATGGCCTCCATCGCCAAGAGCGTTGACCAGTGAGTGTTGGCCCCGGCTCGGGGCTGTGAGGTGGGGTCAGGCGCTGCCTCAACGGGACTTTTGCAGAGACACCGCAAATCATGGAATCACAGAAGGGTTTGGGTGGGAAGGGACCTTAAAAATAATCCAGTGCCACCCCCTGCCATGGGCAGGGACACCTCCCACTAGCCCAGGTTTCCCAAAGCCTCATCCAGCCTGGCCTTGAACCCCTCCAGGGATGGGGCATCCACAGCTTCTCTGGGCACCCTGTGCCTCATCGTAACACATTTTTTCCTTCTCTCCAGTCTCACAAGATTTTAATGCCACAGACTTGAGTTCAGCCCTGGTAGAACAGGAGGAGGGTTTGTTTCCCTTTATCTCCCAAAAGCAAAGTAGTTTTTCCTAGGCTGGTTATTTGGGGATACTTCTGCATCCAGACCCTTCCACCTCCAGGTAGAGTTCTCTCAGATACCTTTAGGGAAGGTTAAATCACTTTCCCCCCCAGTTAGTGCTCGTGAAGCATCCACAGCCCATATCCAGTGCGGTGAGAGCGCGGCGAGCCCTCCTGCGTGCCGACAGCCGCGCTGGGAGCGCCGTGCCTCCTTCCCGGGAGCCTGGGGGAGTCACCGCGCTTGCTGGACGCTCGCTGGCTCCCGTTATCTGTCTCAGGGCTGCTCTTGCTCATTTTTATCTTTGGTTTTTATTTGTGCTTCATTTTTGAGAGCGCCAACCCCTCGTGACCTTGCACTGCTGGAGCACAGGGGGGTCTGCTCCCCACCAGCATCTCCCACGAGGTTTTGCTCCTCCTGTGGCTCCTCTGAGCTTGGCTCCGCTCTTGCCGTGGGAGAGCAGACAGAGCCGAGCTCCCAGAGCCTGGCCACCAGCGTGGGCTGCCAGGAGCCCGGGACTCGCCCCGCAGCACCCTCACACCGGGAACAGGCTCCTCTGCCTTTCTGCGGTCCCAGGAGGATGAATTCGCTTTGTTCTTGTGCCATGGGCGCTCTCACTGGAGGTGTTGGGTCTCTTCTGCTCTCTTTGGTAAAGCTGGAGGTGCTGGGCTCCCAGCCCTGTCCCCCACTAGCCCACAGCTCGGGGGTCCAGCCCACTGCCCGCAGGGTTTGCCGGGCGGATTCCGAGTGGCACAGGAGTCGATGAGGGTCCATACATCCAGCAGCTCCATGGAAACGGTCCGGGA